CCGGTGCCCCCTGGTGTCCCCCGGTGTCCCCTCAATGTCCCCATGCCCCCCCCGGTGTCCCCTCAATGTCTCTATGTCCCCCGGTGTCCCCATGTCCCCCCAGTGTCCCTATCCCCTCAATGTCCCAGTGTCCCCCTGTCCCCCGGTGTCCCCATGTCCCCTCAATGTCCCACAACCCCTCAATGTCCCCATGTCCCCTCAATGCCCCGGTGTCCCCGTGCCCCCCGGTGTCCCCTCAATGTCCCAGTGTCCCCATGTCCCCCGGTGTCCCTCGGTGTCCCCCGGTGTCCCCGTGTCCCCGTGTCCCTCACCTTGCAGAAGGCCAGCTTGGTGGCCGGTTTCACCTCCGTGTGCTGCTCCCCCGGGAACTTCTTCAGCCACACCCAGTCACCCTGCGGGGGAGGGGCAGGGGGCAGGGCTGACACCTCGGCCCCCCCACACCGGGGGACACTCGGGGGCGGTTTTGGGGTGACTGGGGGCGGGTTTGAGGTCACTCGGGGTGGGTTTGGGGTGAATAGGGGCGGTTTTGGGGTGACTTGGTGGATTTGGGACAATTTTGGGGTCACTGGGGCGGTTTTGGGGTGAATAGGGATGGTTTTGGGGTGAATAGTCACTGGGGCGGTATGACTGGAGGAGGTTTTGGGGCGAATGAGGACAGGTTTGGGACAGTTTTGGGGGGGATCGGGGCAGGCTTGGGTGGGATCAGGGTGGTTTTGGGATTTGGGGTGACTCAGGGTGGGTTTGGGGTGGTTTTGGGGCAGTTTGGGGTGACTGGGGAGGTTTTGGGGTGAATAGCGGCGGTTTTGGGGTGAATAGGGGTGGTTTTGGGGTGACTGGGGGTGGTTTTGGGGTGGTTTTTGGGTGACTCGGGGTGAGTTTGGGACAGTTTTGGGGTCTTGGGATGACTGGATGATGTTTTGGGGCGAAGGAGGACAGGTTTGGGACAGTTTTGGGGGGGATCGGGGCAGGCTTGGGTGGGATCAGGGTGGGTTTGGGATTTGGGGTGACTCAGGGCAGCTTAGAGGCAGTTTTGGGGTGCCTGGGGCGGGTTGGGGTCAGTTTTGGGGTCACTGGGGCGGTTTTGGGGTGAATAGGGGTGGTTTTGGGGTGACTGGGGGTGGTTTTGGGGTGGTTTTTGGGTGACTCGGGGTGAGTTTGGGACAGTTTTGGGGTCACTGGGGCGGTTTTGGGGTGAATAGGGGTGGTTTTGGGGTGACTGGAGGAGGTTTTGGGGCGGTTTTGGGGTGAATGAGGACAGGTTTGGAACAGTTTTGGGGGGGATCGGGGCAGGTTTGGGTGGGATCAGGGTGGGTTTGGGATTTGGGGTGACTCAGGGCAGCTTAGAGGCAGTTTTGGGGTGCCTGGGGCGGGTTGGGGTCAGTTTTGGGTTGCCAGGGTCGGTTTTGAGGTGCTGGGGTGGGTTTTGGAGCCAGTTTTGGGGTGCTGGGGTCAGTTTTGGGGCGGGTTTTGGGGTGACAGGGGTAGTTTTGGGGTGACTGGGGCAGTTTTGGAGTGGGTTTTGGGGTGACTGGCGTCGGTTTTGGGGTAGGTTTTGGGTTTTGAGGTTGGTTTTGGGGTGGGTTTTGGGCTGCCGAGGTAGGTTTGGGGGCAGTTTTGGGGTGCCTGGGGCAGTTTTGAAGTGGGTTTTGGGGTGACAGGGTCAGTTTTGGGGTGCTGGGGTTGGTTTAGGGACAGTTTTGGGGTAGCTGGGGCAGTTTTGGGGTGCCGGGGTTGGTTTAGGAGCAGTTTTGGGGTGCCTGGGTCAGTTTTGGGGTGCCGGGGTTGGTTTTGGGGTGCCTGGGTCAGTTTTGGGGTGAGTTTTGGGGTGCCGGGTCGGTTTTGGGGTGCCGGGGCAGTTTTGGGGTGCCTGGGTCAGTTTAGGGGCAGTTTTGGGGTGCCGGGTCGGTTTTGGGGTGCCTGGGTCGGTTTTGGGGTGCTGGGGCCGCTCTTACCTGCACGGAGGCGACAAGGCCCTGCTGGTTAAACAGCAGCAGCAGCAGGGGGAGGTTGCTGCTGCCCCTCGCGTTATCCTGCGGGAAAGCAGCTGTCAATCACCGCCCGGGGGCGGGGCCAGCTGTCAATCAATCATCCCGGGGGCGGGGCCAGCTGTCAATCAGCGCCCGGGGCGGGACACAGCTGTATATAATTGTCTGGGGGCGGGGCCAGCTGTCAATCACTGCCCAGGGTGGGGCATGGCTGTCAATCATTTTCCTAGGGGTGGAGCCAGAATCAGCTGTCAATCATCTCCTAGGTGTGGTTATCATCTGTCAATCATCGCCCAGGAGCTGAGATCAGCTGTCAATCGTCGCCCCAGGCAGCTGAGATCAGCTGTCAATCATCTCCTGGGTGTGGTTATCACCTGCCAATCATTACCCAGGGCCTGACATCAGCTGTCAATCATCTCTCAGGGGCGGGGCTGTGATCAGCTGTCAATCATCTCCCAGGGTGCAGGAGTTAGCTGTCAATCATTGCCCAGAGAAGCTGAGATCAGCTGTCAATCACCTCTCAGGGGTGGGGCTGAGATCAGCTGTCAATCATCGCCCCAGGTAGCTGAGATCAGCTGTCAATCACCTCTCAGGGGCGGGGCTGTGATCAGCTGTCAATTATCACCCCAGGCAGCTGAGAACAGCTGTCAATCATCTCCTGGTTGTGGTTATCAGCTGCCAATCATCGCCCAGGGCCTGAGATCAGCTGTCAATCATCTCTCAGGGGCGGGGCTGAGATCAGCTGCCAATCATCTCTCAGGGGCAGGGCTGTGATCAGCTGTCAATCATCTCCCAGGAGCTGTGATCAGCTGTCAATCATTTCCCAGGAGCTGTGATCAGCTGTCAATCATTTCTCAGGGGCGGGGCTGTGATCAGCTGTCAATCATTTCCCAGGAGCTGTGATCAGCTGTCAATCATTTCCCAGCGGGCCTGAGATCAGCTGTCAATAATTTCCCAGGAGCTGTGATCAGCTGTCAATCATCTCCGGGCGGGGGGCGGGGTCTCACCTCGGCCACGGCCACGTTGGTGGTGTCGGGGCCGGGGGCGCCGTGGGCGCTGCGGGCGTCGCCCCCGCTCTGCCCGGCCAGGCTGGTGTGGCTGCTGTCCACCTGGGAGGGGACAGGGGGACAGCGGGGTCACACCAGGGGCGGGGCTGTGATCAGCTGTCAATCATTTCCCAGGGGCGGGGCTGTGATCAGCTGTCACTCATCGCCGGGGGCGGGGCCGGGGTCCCCAAGCTGTGGCCACCGCTGTCCCCTGGGAGGTGGCCTGGCCTTGTCGCCCCCGCAGGTGGGGAGGGGGGAGGCTGTCCACCTGGGAGGGGACAGGGGGACAGCGGGGTCACACCGGGGCCACAGCGGGGCCACTCACTGCTGTCCCCAGTGTTCCCAACCCCCTCAATGTCCTCACCCCCAATCCCCCCAAGGTCCCAATCCCTGCAATGTCCCCAGTGTCCCAAATGTCCCCTCACGTCCCCAATGTCCCCAGTGTCCCCCATCTCAATGTCTCTGCTGTCCCCAGTGTCCCCATTAATGTCCCCACTGTCCCCAGTGTCCCCACTGCTGTCCCTGCTGTGACATTGGGGACACGGGGACACTGGGGACACGGGGACATTGGGGACACTGGGGACATTGGGGGTACTGGAACGTTGGGGTGACACTGGGGACATCGGGGGCATTGGGGACAGCAGGGACACTGGGGGATTGGGGACAACAAGGGGACATTGGGGATGTCAGGGACATTGGGGACATTGGGGACACTGGGGACATAGGGACAACGAGGGGACATTGGGGACATTTGGGACATTGAGGACAATGAGGGGACACTGGGGACAGGGGGGACATTTGGGACACTGTGGGGGTTGGGGACACTGGGGACATTGGGGACAATGGGGGGACATTGGGGACAGCCAGGTGACACAGGGGACAGCGAGGTGACACCAGGGACAGCAGGGACAGCCAAGTGACACTGGGGACAGTGGGGACAGTGAAGGGACTTTGGGGACAGCAGGAACGCTCTGGTGTGGGGACACCGAGCTGCCACCAGGGCCACCAGGGCAGGGACACGGCGGTGCTGAGGGGACAGCAGGGCCACCAAGGCCACCAGGGCCACCAAGGCCACCAGGGCCACCAGGGCCACCAAGGCCACCAGGGCCACCAAGGCCACCAAGGCCACCAAGGCCACCAGGGCCACCAAGGCCACCAAGGCCACCAGGGCCACCAAGGCCACCAAGGCCACCAAGGCCACCAGGGCCACCAGGGCCACCATGGCCACCAAGGCCACCAAGGCCACCAAGGCCACCAGGGCCACCAAGGCCATCAGGGCCACCCACCTGATGTGGCAGGCCAGGGCGGCGCCGGCCGCGACGAGGGCGGCGATGAGGAGGAAGAGGAAGAAGACGAAGCCGGCGTCCATCCCTGCGGAGAGACCACGGGAGTGACCAGAATGACCAGAGTGACCACGGGAGTGACCACAGGGGTGACCAGAGTGAGCATGGGAGTGACCAGAGTGACCACAGGGGTGACCAGAGTGACCACAGGGGTGACCAGAGTGAGCATGGGAGTGACCAGAGTGACCACGGGAGTGACCAGAGTGACCACGGGGGTGACCAGAGTGACCAGGGGAGTGACCAGAGTGACCAGAGTGACCACAGGGGTGACCAGAGTGAGCATGGGAGTGACCAGAGTGACCACAGGGGTGACCACCACGGGAGTGACCACAGGGGTGACCAGAGTGAGCATGGGAGTGACCAGAGTGACCACAGGGGTGACCAGAGTGACCACAGGGGTGACTAGAGTGACCACAGGGGTGACCAGAGTGACCAGGGTGATTAGGAGTGACCAGGGGTGACCAGGGATGACCAGAAGTGACATGGGGGGACTAGGAGTGACCGGGAGTGACCAGGAGTGACCAGGGGTGTCCAGGAGGGACCAAGGGTGACCAGGGATAACCAGGGGTGACTAGGAGTGGCCAAGGGTTACCAGAGGTGACCAGGGATGACCAGGGGTGACCAGGAGTGACCAGAGGTGACCAGGAGTGACCAGGAGTGACTAGGGATGACCAGGGATGACCAGGAGTGACCAGGAGGGACAGGGGTGACCAGGGGTGACCACAGGAGTGACCAGGGGTGACCAGGGGGGACCAGGAGTGACCAGGAGTGACTAGGGATGACCAGGGATGACCAGGAGTGACCAGGAGGGACAGGGGTGACCAGGGGTGACCACAGGAGTGACCAGGGGTGACCAGGGGGGACCAGGAGTGACCAGGAGTGACTAGGGATGACCAGGGATGACCAGGAGTGACCAGGAGGGACAGGGGTGACCAGGGGTGACCACAGGAGTGACCAGGGGTGACCAGGGGGGACCAGGAGTGACCAGGAGTGACCAGGGGTGACCAGAAGTCGCCAGGGGGGACTAGGAGTGACCAGGAGGGACCGGGAGTGACCGGGAGTGACCAGGGGTGACCAGGAGTGGCCAAGGGTGACCAGGGGTGACCAGGGGTGACTGGGAGTGACCAGGGATGACCAGGAGTGACCACAGGAGTGACCAGGGGTGACCAGAGGTGACCACAGGAGTGACTAGGAGTGACCAGGGGTGACCGGGAGTGGCCAAAGGTGACCAGGAGTGATCAGGAGTGACCACAGGAGTGACCAGGGGTGACCAGGGCGATGTGGTCACCCGGGGAACCGATGTCACCCTGTGGCACTGGAGGTCACCTGTGGGTGAACACGGTGGAGCCGGGAGAGGATGGACGGACAGAGGGACACACGGGCAGAGGGACACACGGACAGAGGGACACAGGGGCAGATGGACACACGGGCAGATGGACAGATGGACAGATGGGCAGATGGACACACGGGCAGATGGACACATGGGCATGGTGGCACCATGACCCCAGTTGGCCCAGAACCATGGCGGCACCACCACGGCCGGTCCAGCACCGTGGTGGCACCACGACCATGGTGACACCACAGATGACCCAGAACCATTGTGGCATCACAACCGTGGTGGCACCATGACCAGGGAGGGCACCACTGGTTCAGCACCATGGTGGCACCACGGCAGACCCAGAACCGTGCCTACCACCATCACCACTGGTCCAGCACCGTGGTGGCACCATGACCCCGATCATCCAGTTCCACGGTGGCACCATGACCATGAGGGCACCCAGAACCGTGGTGGCACCACAGATTATCCAAAACCACGGTGGCACCACGATCCCAATCATCCAGCACCATGGTGGCACCACGGCAGACCCAGAACCGTGCCTACCACCATCACCACCACGGCCATTCCAGCACCATGGTGGCACCACAGATGATCCAGAACCACAGTGGCACCATGATCCCAATCATCCAGCACCATGGTGGCACCACAGATGATCCAAAACCATTGTGGCACCACAACCGTGGTGGCACCACGACCATGGGGGAACCACGGCTGCTCCAGCTCCATGGTGGCACCACAACCATGGTGGCACCTCGACCAGGGAGGGGACCACTGGTTCAGCACCATGGTGGCACCAACAACCATGGTGGCACCTCGACCAGGGAGGGGACCAATCATCCAGCACCATGGTGGCACCACAGATGATCCAAAACCACGGTGGCACCATGATCCCAATCATCCAGCACCATGGTGGCACCACAGATGATCCAAAACCATGGTGGCACCATGATCCCAATCATCCAGAACCATGGTGGCACCACAGATGATCCAAAACCACGGTGGCACCATGATCCAAATCATCCAGCACCATGGTGGCACCACAGCAGACCCAGACCCACCTCCACCACCACCACCACCACCCCTCCCCTCCCGCCCCACCGGTGACCCCGCTCACCGCCGTTGCAGATGGCGCCGGAGTCGAACCAGCAGCCGGCGTCGGTGGCCGGGCTGGCGCTGTGGGGCCAGTGGGGGCTGTGGCTGCGGTAGCTGAGGCCGCGCGTGCCCGGCTCCAGCCCGTAGACCGCCCACAGGTGGTGGCCCTTGCCGTCCGTGTCCAGCACCACGTAGGGCACCGAGACGTCGCCGTCCCGGTCCACGGTGAAGGTCTGGCAGAAGCCCTGCAGCTGGAAGTCGCGGGCGTGGTCGGCCACGCTGGTGCCCATCACCCAGCGGCCGCTGCGGCGCGCGGCCTCCACCGCCGTGGCCAGGAAGTAGATGGAGTTGTAGATGGTGGAGAAGAGCGGGTGGACCTGGCGGGGGGACAGGTGGGACGTGGGGGTGACGCCAGGGTGGGCAGCTCGGGGGATTGGGTTGGGTTGGGTTGGGTTGGGTTGGGTATGGTTGTTTGGTGTTGGCCGTGGTCAGTGGAGGTGTCCACGGTCAGCTTGCATTGGCCATGGTCAACCAAGATGGTCATGGTCGTCTCCCATTGGCCATGGTCAACCAAGATGGTCATGGTCGTCTCCCATTGGCCATGGTCAACCAAGATGGTCATGGTGATGTCCCATTGGCCATGGTCAACCAAGATGGTCATGGTCATCTCCCATTGGCCATGGTCATCTCATGTCGGTCATGGTCATCTTGTGCTGACCATGCTTATCTCTCATCGGCCGTGGTCAAGGCAAGACGGCCATAGTCATCTTCCATTGGCCATGGTCAACCAAGATGGTCATGGTCATCTCCCATTGGCCATGGTCAACCAAGATGGTCATGGTGTTGTCCCATTGGCCATGGTCAACGAAGATGGTCATGGTCGTCTCCCATTGGCCATGGTCAACCAAGATGGTCATGGTCGTCTCAGTCCTCCAGAGATGCCCCTGGAGATGCCCCAAATCTCCTGAAGGTACCCCAAAACCCCCTTGAGATGCCCCCAAACCTCTCAAGATGCCCCCAAACCCTCTCAAGATAGCCTCAACCCTCTCGAGATGCCCCCAAACCTCTTGAGATGCCCTCAAACCCCCTCAAGGCACCCCCAAACCCCTCAAGATATCCTCAAACCCCTCAAGATATCCTCAAACCCCTCAAGATAACCTCAAACCCTCTCGAGATGCGCTCAAACCTCCTGGAGATACCCTCAACCCTCTTGAGATGCCCCCAAACCCTCTCAAGACACCCTGAAAGCTCTCAAGATGCCCTCAAACCCCCTGGAGACACCCCCAATCCCTCCAGACACAACCCCCAAACCCCCTCGAGACTCCCCCCAGCCCCACCTCCGCGGGGTCGAGGTTGGCAGGGACCTCGTAGGCCGCCTTGGCCTCCTCCAGGGCCTCGTGGAAGGAGGCGTCGGGCGAGTCGATGGTGATGGTCAGCACGGCGTCGTAGGCCAGGCGCAGCTTGGTGTTGTTGGCCAGCACGGGGTAGGGCACGCGGCGGTAGGGCAGCGCGAAGGTCAGCGCGTCGTAGGGGACGAAGACGAAGGTGCCGTCCGTCATGCCCAGGTCCTCGGCCTTCTCCAGGAGAACCTTCTGCTCGCGGCCGCCCAGCAGCACGGAGTGCATGCACATCAGCACCACTGCCGGGGGACACGCGGGGACACGCGGGGACACGGCGACGTGGGCGTGGGGTGGTGGCGGCGGGCACCGCGCCTGGGCTTCCGCTGTTATGGCTGTGTCTGTTTTCGTCCCATTGGCCATGGTCAACCAAGATGGTCATGGTCGTCTCCCATTGGCCATGGTCAACCAAGATGGTCATGGTCATCTCCCACTGGCCATGGTCAATGAAGATGGTCATGGTCATCTCCCATTGGCCATGATCAACCAAGATGGTCATGGTCAAGGCAAGATGGCCACAGTCATCTCCCACTGGCCATGGTCATCTCCCCTTGGCCACGGTCACCTCCATCCCTAGTTGGTGGCCTTGTCCACCCAGTCCTCCAGAGATGCCCCTGGAGATGCCCCAAATCTCCTGAAGGTACCCCAAAACCCCCTTGAGATGCCCCCAATCCTCTTGAGATGCCTTCAAACCCTCTCAAGACACCCCCAAACCTCTTGAGATGCCCTCAAACCCCCTCAAGGCACCCCCAAACCCCTCAAGATAACCTCAAACCCTCTCGAGATGCGCTCAAACCTCCTGGAGATACCCTCAACCCTCTTGAGATGCCCCCAAACCCTCTCAAGACACCCTGAAAGCTCTCAAGATGCCCTCAAACCCCCTGGAGACACCCCCAATCCCTCCAGACACAACCCCCAAACCCCCTCGAGACTCCCCCCAGCCCCACCTCCGCGGGGTCGAGGTTGGCAGGGACCTCGTAGGCCGCCTTGGCCTCCTCCAGGGCCTCGTGGAAGGAGGCGTCGGGCGAGTCGATGGTGATGGTCAGCACGGCGTCGTAGGCCAGGCGCAGCTTGGTGTTGTTGGCCAGCACGGGGTAGGGCACGCGGCGGTAGGGCAGCGCGAAGGTCAGCGCGTCGTAGGGGACGAAGACGAAGGTGCCGTCCGTCATGCCCAGGTCCTCGGCCTTCTCCAGGAGAACCTTCTGCTCGCGGCCGCCCAGCAGCACGGAGTGCATGCACATCAGCACCACTGCCGGGGGACACGCGGGGACACGCGGGGACACGGCGACGTGGGCGTGGGGTGGTGGCGCCAGCCACCGCGCCTGGGCTTCCGCTGTTCTGGCTGTGTCTGTTTTCATCCACCCTTCGTCTGTCCGTCTGTCCCTCCATGCATCCATCATCCATCCATCCATCCATCCATCCATCCCGGCGACGTGGGCGTGGGGTGGTGGCGGCGGGCACCGCGCCTGGGCTTCCGCTGTTATGGCTGTGTCTGTTTTCATCCACCCTTCGTCTGTCCGTCTGTCCCTCCATGCATCCATCCGTCCATCATCCATCCATCCATCCATCCATCCCATGTCCACCATCTTCATCCACCCTTCGTCTGTCCGTCTGTCCGTCCGTCCCTCCATGCATCCATCATCCATCCATCCATCCATCTGTCCATCCATGCATCTATCCATGTCCACCATCTTCATCCACCCTTCGTCTGTCCATCTGTCCGTCCGTCCCTCCATGCATCCATCCGTCCATCCATCCATCCATCCATCCATCCATCCATCCATCCATCCATCTGTCCATCCATCCATGCATCTGTCCATCTGTCCATCCATCCATCCATCCATCCATCCATCCATCCATCCATCCATCCATCCGTCCATCCCATGTCCACCATCTCCATCCATCCCTGCATCCCTCCATCCCTCCTCCATCTCCATCCCTCTCTCCATGTTCATCTCCATCTTCATTTCCATCTCCACCTCCATCCCACCTCCATCTCTCCACCTCCACCTCCATCTTTCCATCTCCAGCTCCACCTCCCTCCAACCTCCACCTCTCCATCCCCTCTCCATCTCCACCTCCACCTCCATCCCTCCTCCACCTCCACCTCCACATTCACCTCCATCCCCATCTCCACCCCCACCTCCATCTCCACTTCCATTTTTCCGTCTCCATCTCCCTCCAACCTCCATCCCCATCTCCACCTCCATCCTCACCTCCATCTCCACCTCCATCTTTCCATCTCCATCTCCGTCTGCATCCCACCTCCATTCCCCCTCCATCCCACCTCCATCTCCATATCTCCATCTCCACCTCCATCTCTTCATCTCACCTCCACCTCCATCTCCACTTCCATCTCCATCCCCATCCTCACCTCCATCTCCACCTCCACCTCCATCCCACCTCCATCTTCGTCTCCACCTCCATCTCCACCTCCATCTCCATCTCTCCGCCTCCATCTCCATCTTTCCATCTCCATCCCACCTCCATCTCCATCCCACCTCCATCTCTCCATTCCAACTCCATCTCCATCTCCACCCCCATCTCCATCTCTCCATTCCACCTCCACCTCCATGCCCCCTCCAGCCCCCTCCCACCTCCATCTTTCCATCCCACCTCCACCTCCACCTCCATCCCCCCTCCAGCCCCTCCCCTCCACCCCCGTCCCTCACCTCTGTTCCATCTCCATCCCACCTCCATCTCCATCCCACCTCCACCTCCACCTCCATCTCCCCATCTCTACATCCCACCTCCATCTCTCCATTCCACCTCCACCTTCGTCTCCACCTCCATCCCCACCTCCATCTCCATCTCCATCTCCACCTCCACCTCTATTCCCACCTCCATCCCACCTCCACCTCCACCTCCATGCCCCCTCCAGCCCCCTCCCCTCCACCCCCGTCCCTCACCTCTGACCCCGTCCGCCCTCTGGACCCTCCTCAGCGCCTCCTCCGCCTCCTCCTCATCCTCTCCGGCCACGGTGACCACGCTGACCGGCAGCCCCCTGGCCCTCAGCTCGCGGGCCACCTCCTGCCCGGTGTCCACCCACAGGTCCTGCGGCGCGGCCACCACGGCCACGTGCGCCCAGCGGAAGTACCGCAGCACGGCGTGCAGGACGCCGGCCGGAGCGGGCAGCGGCCTGACCAGAGTGACCGCTCCGGCCGCTCCGGCCGCGCCGCACGCCCAGGACACCAAGGGCTTGTTCCAGGCGGCGGCCAGCAGCCCGGCGGCGCCGCAGGCCGCGGGGTTGAGGGGACCCACGATGGCGCTGGCGTAGCGCTCGGCGCTGACCACTCCGGCCACGGCCTGGGGCGTGGCGCAGGCCTCGGACATCACCACGGCGTCCCACCAGTAGCCGGCGGTCAGCGCCGGGTCGCGGTTGAGCCGCGCCACCGCCAGGCGCGAGGCCACGTCCGGCAGCGCCCGCGCCAGCAGCGGGTCGCAGCTCCAGGGGCCCAGCACGCCCACCTTGAAGGTGGCGGCCAGGGAAGGGACGGGGCAGGGCACTCACCATTGGAGGTGTCACCTTTGGAGGTGTCACCGTTGGAGATGTCACCACAGTGGGAGATGACACTGTTGGAGATGTCACCATTGGAGATGTCACCACGGGAGGTGTCACCATTGGAGATGTCACCATTGGAGATGCCACCATGGGAGATGCCACCACCGTGGGAGATGTCACCATTGGTGATGTCACCGTTGGAGATGTCACCACCACGGGAGATGTCACCGTTGGAGGTGTCACCACTGGAGATGTCACCACCGATGTCACCTTTGCAGGTGCCACCGCGGGAAACGCCACCATCAGCAGAGCCACCACCGTGGGAGATGTCACCGTGGGAGATGTCACCATGAGCAGAGCCACCACTGTGGGAGATGTCACCATCGGAAATGTCACCATGGGAGATGCCACCATGGGTGATGATGTCATGGGAGGTGCCACCGCTGTTGCAGATGTCACCGTTGCAGGTGTCACCGTGGGAGCCGATGCCATGGAAGATGCCACCACCGTGGGAAATGTCACCGTGGCAGATGCCACCATGGGTGATGATGTCATGGGAGGTGCCACCGCTGTTGCAGATATCACCGTGGGAGGTGCCACCACCGTGGGAAATGTCACCATGGCAGATGCCACCTCTGCTGGACATGTCACTGCTGGAGATGCCACCATGGGGGATGCCACCACCGCTGGAGATGTCCCTGTAGGAAATGTCACCCTGAGAGATGATGCCATGGAAGATGTCACCGTGGGAGGTGCCACCACAGCTGGAAATGTCACCGTTGCAGATGCCACCGTGGGAACCGAAGCCATGGGAGATGCCACCACCGTGGGAAATGTCACCGTGGGAGATGCCACCTCTGCTGGACATGTCACTGCTGGAGATGCCACCACGGGAGATGCCACCACAGCTGGCCATGTCCCTGTGGGAGGTGCCACCATGGGTGATGATGTCATGGGAGGTGCCACCGCTGTTGCAGATGCCACCGTGGGAAACAATGCCACGGGAGATGTCACTGTAGGAAATGTCACCAGGGGAGATGCCACCGCTGTTGCAGATGCCACCGTGGGAAACAATGCCACGGGAGATGTCACTGTAGGAAATGTCACCGTGGCTGATGCCACAAAAGCTGGAAATGTCACTGTTGGAGATGTCACCACGGGAGATGCCACCACTGTTGCAGATGTCACCGCGGGAGGTGCCACCACCGTGGGAACCGAAGCCATGGGAGATGCCACCACCGTGGGAAATGTCACCATGGTAGGTCCCGGTGCCACCGTGGGAGGTGGCGGCGCCCCGGCGGGCGCTGTCCCCGCTGTCCCCGCTGTCCCCGCTGTCCCCGCTGTCCCCAGCCCCTCCCCCGCGTGGCCGCATGTCCAGGCCGGGGCGCTCAGGCCAGGCCGTGGCCGGAGGCGTCCAGCGATGTCAGCATGGCCGCCGGGCGGTCACCTGGGGCCATGGGTGATGATGTCACGGGAGGTGCCACCACCACTGGACATGTCACTGCTGGAGATGCCACCACGGGAGATGCCACCGCTGTTGCAGATGTCCCCGTTGCAGGTGCCACCGTGGGAAGTGATGTCATGAGAGATGCCACCAGTCCTGGAGATGTCACTGTAGGAAATGTCACTGTGGCAGATGCCACCACTGCTGGAGATGTCCCTGGGGGAGATGCCACCATGG